AGTACTATTATTATTCTCTTTTTACATTTGAAGTAACAGATACAGACAAGTAATTTGCCAAGATCCTAGTGCCAGCTTTTCTGTACTGAATCATTTGTGTGTGGAGGGGAGGTATAAGGGGAGGGGAGACTCTAAACACCTGGACAGTGAACGAATAGACTGTATGGCTGTTTTCTTAATTTCACTTGGTCCAACATCGCATTTAAGAATTATTTCTTCAAAGAATCAGACAGGAAGTCACCTAGCTTCAGTGTAAATATTTCTAAAATGAGACATTACTACCACACAGACAATTCATCCCATTTTTGAATGCTTCTGATTGGCAGATAATTTTCTTTCTATTGAGAAGATTGTTTCTTCATGTAATTGTGACCTGTGAATCCTAATTCTTCGCTCTGAAACAATCCAAATGAAGACTAATTCATCTTCCCCAGAATAGCAGGCTTTCAAGTGTTTGAAAATTCTTTTGGCCTATGAATCTTCTTTGCCAGATTAATCACTGGTTCTCACAAACTTTTCTTACATCTAGGCTTTTACCATCTTGATTAGACCTCAACAGGTCTACTTTAGTTTATGAACATGTTCTCTATATTTAAAAAAAAAGGAAAAGTTTTTTCCATAATTATAAAACTAACAGAAGTTCCTTAAAAATTATTTTGACACCAAAAACATAAAAATGACCAGACTTACTGGTCAGATAGAGACTGGTGAACCCTTAAGACTATGGCTCCAGGTTATCCTTCAGGCCTGGAAATAGACTCACTTCTGTGGATTAGCTCTCAACCAAACAGTATAGAAAGACCTACAAGCAGAACACCTGCCCCAGGGAGATGCACCCCTTAGATCAGTCAACCACGAGAAATCAGAAGGGCTGCATTCACAGAAGGAAACCTGGACAGATAGGAATGCATAGATAAGAAGGGCAGAGAGAATGGATAATCACAGTAGGAGATGGATAACTACAGGAGGAGAGCTTTTTATGGTTGGAGTTTGTTATCAGAGCCAGGAAATCAAATGTGCATGAACTGTTGAGAATAAAATGAATCTGCTTTGTAAATTTGCACCCAAATTGCAATTAAAAAAAATTATTTTGACATCACAGAAATACATAAAAGAAACAAACTCCCCATTTTTTCAACGGGGGAAAATACTGAAAGCACAAGGAAGAAAATCTCTGTACTTTCTTTTTCCAGAAATAATAACCACTTTGTTAACATTCCAGTATGTACCCTCTCCAGTGTTTGTATTTTTCTCTTTTTCATTTAAAGATCATATTATACTTTAAAAAACAAAATGTGTGATTTGGGTGAAAGTTTACAAAGCAAATTCATTTTCCATACAGCAGTTCATACACATGTTGTTTCATGACATTGACTACAATTCCCTACAGTGTAACAGCTCTCTTCCCACTTCCTCCTCGTACTTACCTCTTCCCTTTATCCTTCCCTCCTATG